TTGTTATATCTATTTTCTTTTTTAATTTGAATTTTTTATCTTGCTTCATTTTTTAATAACTTGATTTCTGTCCTTCACTTCCCTTCTATTTATTTTATTTCATTACATGTCATATTTTGCAGCTTTTACTGTGTCATCATCCTGTTGTTCCTTTGTTTCAAGCCAAGAATACACTGTTGCATATTCATTGCTTTCTTTAGCTCACATTAAAGTGAACACAAGTCTCTTAAGAAATGTTGAAGCTAACTACTAGCCTGTACTTGCTTATCATGTTCTTATGTCGACCTTCGTGGCACTGACAGACATCATATTTTATCACCTTCTTACAACATGGAAACATTATTTGTTTTAAGATTAAGGGTGTGCAATGACACTATATACCATATATATAATGTATATAAAGTATATATGTATAACAGTCTTCTTTCATTGTGTCTTACATGATCTTCTCTTTTTCAGTACCTGACCACAGTAATCCCTTATGAGAAGAAAGCTGGCTCCCCGTCGGTAGAAGACCTCCAGATCCTCACAAAGAGTGAGTGTATTGACACACACACACCAACCGGACCATAATGACAGAATTAGATGTGTTAGTCTCTGCAACTTGTTTGCTTTCATGTTTTCGGGCGAGTTTTTTATTTTTTATTTTACCTCAGTGCATGTTACGTTTTCAAAGAGTGTAATGTGCTGCTCTCTCCCTGCTAGTCCTCCACGCCATGAGGGATGACAGCGAGAAGGTGCCTGCCCTGCTAACAGACTACATTCTCAAAGGTAAACACACAGCCGTCTGCAGTCACTTATATATATATATATATATCGGTGAGTAGGATGAAAAGCTGAGCAACTTAAGTCACATCATGTTTATTGCAGTAATATACAAAACAAAACCTCAAAATGTGTCCCAAAAGCGAGTTATATTTAGAGGTGTTTGTCACTGCTAGGTGGCTTTTGTTTGTGCCACCTGACATTCAGACATCCTGCCCCCTGTTGCCTGAAAGAGGAAGTGCAAAATGAATTTCTCCATTTTCAGGGAAGCTGATGGTAGAGAAATATGATGACATAGAGAAAAGAAAACAGTAGCACTCAACACAAGGATTAATTAAAGGGAGGGGGAAAAATGCTTCAATCACCCTTCAATGTTGACCTGTACCTTCCTTGTCTTTCGTCTGTGCTGCATTGTCCTTTGGGTAGCTCTGGTATGAGAGCAGTGGAAACTGAGGTTTGTGAGGCACTGACACATTAACACAGATTCTTCACCTTCAGCCCTCTGAGCCCTGTCAAACGCCCTTTTCTCTTTCTCTCTCAGTACGTCTTCGTAGTATCACTATCTCCCTCCTTCAAAAGCAGCAGCCTTCCCCCCACTCAATCGTTGCTGTAGTGCCTATTGTGCTCTGTGGTGCTTGTGGCTGCACTACACCTACCTCTGAAACACACCAATACACTCATGCACATGATTCCCCCTTTACTGCAAGCTTGTAGTAGCAGCTGTTCACGTGTCTGCTTCTCACCTTTTTTTTCTTCTCTTTTCTCACCCTACATTTCCTCCTTGCGGTAGCTGCTCTTCCATAATGTACAGCTCTCCTTCATGTGCCAGGTTTTTTTTTTTTTTTTCCAGCAGCATTGATAATCAGATGATCTCATCTTTTCTCCACAGTTCTTTGTCCTACGTAAAGCCAAAGGCGAGCCTCCTGTTTCCAGAACCATTGGACCATCAGAAGAGGGTTCTGGTAATCCGGACGAACTCAGATAATGGATTAAGAATCCAAATCTTCCTTCCTCCCTGTTTGTCAACACATAGACTTTCTTTCCTTTTGGCATTTTTTTTTTTGACTTTGCCACTGTTGTTTTTCCTTAGATTTTAACTCTAGATATAGCTCTTCAGTCTGTATAGTTCATTTCATTTGTAATGTTTTAACTTTTTAATGCCTGAGTGCTACAACCCTGTATATCCTGACTGCATGATGACTTGTCTATGGATGCCAGTAATCAGTATTAGTCTGAACACCTTACTTCCTGATTAGCCAGCAGCTTTTAAATGGAGACAGGGTCAGGTGTATTTTATCAGCAGGTCTGTGTGAGGGAGATGCAGTCCAGTCCAGTCCAGATTTGTAAATTCAAATGCATTTGCATCCGTGTAATTCATGCCTGACGGAGTAAAACAAATCCTGGCTGAATCTCGAAAAGCCAGAATGGTTGTGATATCGAGCATACTTTTTTTTTTTTCCTGAATGGAAACTTTTGCCATAATGGCATAATTTGTTGATTGATTGCTAATAATATCTTGGGGTTGAAAAACTCTGCTTGCTAAGGATCAAAGAGCAAACCCTTTAATTTTAAAATCTAAAATCCTAGGTCCACCTGTCTTCACATGTTGATTTTGGGTTTATGCTCAATATTAGCAGTTAGTTGAATGTTTAAAATGAAATATTTTGTATACAATTTAAGATAAATTGCACAGTTTTGGGAACTTTTTACTTTTTGAAAAAGGGAAAAAAGTTTTGACAAAGTAATAGCTGGATGAACAAACACATGTAAAGCATATTTTTTGGAGAAGGGGTTTGTTTTTAGTGAGATTGGGGACTTGCCAGTAGCCACTTTTGTGACCACATTGCAACATTATTTTGTGAATGCTGTCCATTGACCTCTGAGCCCTCGAGTAGTGACCACCATCCCCCAACAACTTTATCACTTCCCCAGGAGAGTCCTCATTAACATGAGTCTGCAAATACCTCGTATAACTTTTTAGCATTAGTATAAAAGCATTAGATAAACAGCGTAGTTAAGAGTATGTTAAAAGGTAGGTAGGTTTGATAATTGTGTAGTTAAGCTTCTGTTAAAAGGTTTTCTCTATCTGTTAACCCTTTAACTGTAACTGTAAATTTCGTGGTAGCACTTTAGTCTGTCAGTGATCTGGTCATGTAGTAGTGGAATATGTGGTGGAGGTACTACAGAGTACGTCTCACTAGATTAGCATTAGATGAAGTTTAGAAGCGTAAGCTTGTGGTGCCAAAAGCACGTCAACATGTTGTCAATTGTTGTCATGCATCCGGTTCGATTTATCTCTTATTGGTCATCATGAGCATGAGAATTTAAACAACCTTAAAGGGGCGCTCCACTGAGTTTACACACTATACGGAGTGCGGCTCAGCCTGTAAAAACATTTGTGCATGTTTAGTCGAACAAAAATACAGCCAGGTTGGATTATGGGAAATGTAGGATGCAGTGTTTTTGGACTAAAAGTCAGAATATCTCAGCCTCTGTCTCATCAACTTTGACCATTCTGTTTTTTTAAAGCATCTCTTGCATGTTTCCCAACCCTTACGGCAGTGCAATACTAATCACTGGAGCGCCCCTTTAAAAACCGTGTACCACCAATCTAGCGCTGCATGTGTCATCAGCAGGTTGGTACACTAACGTTCAGACCACCAGCTACTACAGGTGCACTACACACGGTCAGATCAGGTCTAGTCTAGCTCTCAGGTACGATCATCAGTGTTAGTAATTTAAAATCTTGTTCTGAAAAGGTACTGACATTCCTGAGTCTTCGTATGTTTCTGGCGACATTTGATCAACTACACTTAAACTTGCTGCACTTTTATCTTTTCAACAAATATCTTTAAATACCTGGATGAGCAGATAGGGGTAATCATTGTAGCCTCTTGACTAAATCAGGGTAGCATTTTACAGATGTTGATTATGTCATGACTTGTTGAAACACAATTTAATGTCCTAGACTCTAGTAGTAATAGTAGTAGGTGCAGCCAGCAGCTAAATGGTACAGGCTTCAGTAGCATGTGCTTGGTGTAGCAGTCTAGAGACGAGAGCGTGGATGCAGTTAAACTTAGACTCTTTAGAAAATCAGTTGTTAAGTTGTAGGAGAAGGTGAGACTCTCTTAAAAAAGGAGTTTATTGGATAAATATTTTAAGCGTGTCTCTCTGCGAGAAGAAGGAAGTGGTGAGAAGAAAGGTGCATAGGAAGATGAAAAGGGGTGTGATAAAGTTCATGGATGTTGGGTAAGATTGCACAAAGGGTTGCTTAAATTTGAGGGGTCCAATTAATTATTTTGTAAAGGAAGCTTGTAGTGCTATATTTAACTATTTATATATAACTGTTGTTTCTACTGTTCCCAGCTTTGAAAACATTCACAGACTAGCATGTGCTCCTTGCACTTTACTGCTGCAAACACATTTCTAATAAGGATTAGTTTGTTTTGTTTATGGACATAAAGATATCACACTAAAGGGATAAGTGCAGAGCAACTCAAAGCAAGTAATGAATTCAAACTGTTAAAATATATCAAAAAGGGAAAAGTTAAACATCAGAAGGCTTGTGGCAGTGAAACACATGAGCCATTTTAGGAGAACATCCCTCGGTTGATCATAATCTCACAAAAGCTTAAATGAAAATGACACCAACCGTGTAAATCTATCTTGTGTTTTATAATGAAATGACAGCATGGACATTAGTGGAGGGTCTCAGGGCGGTGCCCCTAATCTGGTCTCTTCTTAGCAGACATATCAGTGTAACTACAATTTAGAGATTTATATTTATATATGTACAACAAAACAAGCAATGGAGAAAAGAGGCTGCCTTTGTAAATGCCTGACAATTTTTGTACATTAAACCAACTCCTTTTTGTTTTTAATGCAATATAATTCCCCAGTTTGGGGTTTTATGTTTACTGTCTCATTTGGTACTGCAGTATATTAATTTATTATGTAAATGTTCGTTTTGTAACCATGTTATTGACTGTAATGGTACAAGTGTTTGTGCCCTCATTGCATTGCAACTCATTTCAAATAAATTAATATGTGAAGACTTTTATGTGCTTTTGGCTCACTGTGGTGTGTGTGTGCAAGTGTAACACATTATTTTATCACAGTTTTATAAGACTCACTCTGTAGCCACAAACTGCCCATGCATATCGAACAAAAATCACTTATTTTACTTAAACTTTACATGTATTAACAAAATAAAAGCAAGGCTCTTTGCTCTGTGACAATTTCAAATAACACTGGTTTATTTATTTTAAGCGTGAGATTTTTTGTCTATAAAGGAATACTTAATCCTGTCTTCCACCATATTTGGACATACATGCATGACATTGACACAGGTGCAGTTATTTTCATTAAAAATTACTTATAAAAGAAAACTAGAAGTTAAAGAGTTAATTCTGTTTTTTCATCTCCTTCAACAAAGTCTCACATACCTTAAGAGAACCTGAAAAGGGACATTTTATAATTGCTCTGGTATATTTAACTCCTTGTTCATAACTGACTATACATGGTGTGTCTTGATAATTTAACTACAAAACCCATGAATGTTTGAATAATTCACAAGACCGTATATAATATTGAGGACAAACTTACGCATTGAGGACAATAAGGCCTGAAGCTAGTTGTGTCAATCATTTGCTGTATTTAAAGTAGCAACCAACCAGTTCCTGTCCCCATTTTCTATATCATATCAAACCGTACATATACTCAGTCGAACAGTCCTTGCCAACAAAACATCTTCCATCTTACCCAGTTGGATACCACCATCTGACCTACATGTGGTCACTGTAATTTGCTAATATCATCTTTCAGACTACACAGAGTATTGTAGGAAAACAACAAAATGATAAGAGGAAAGAGTTTGTTTTGTGCATGGTCCTCTCAGTTACTACTGATTAACTTAATGGCACTTGCATCCACCAAAAGTTTCCAGTCATGGAGAGTTGATTGAAAATGAAAGAATAATAATATAATAATAATAAAATAAAAAAGTAAGCCTTTTTTCAAAATTATCACATAAAAGTAGTCTCTCTAGGGGGAAAATATGGGGAACAAACTCAAAAAGATGACTATGTTCTGTGTTCACGTCTTTGGTTTCTTGTGTCACAATCTGTATTCAGTCTGTATTCAGCTGTTTTAAATTTTGAGTATATCCTCAGACTTCCTCCTTCACACTTCAAATGTAGCTTGACCAGTTGTGTTTTAATGTCTTACTCCAGTGCTCTTGTCATGTTCGGCTCCTCTCCCTTCATTTTTCATCCTAAGAGAGAAGAAACTTCACCTCTGCTGTGTCTGACCTGTTTACAACCACAGCGACACTTTAACTGGCCAGGGCTTCAGACGAAACAAGGCGTCAAAATGTTAAAACATCCAAGGCCCCGTGTCCTGTAGGGTTCAAAGGTCATCCTCGGGTCACAGGTTGGTGTCAGTGAACATGGTGTGCTCCTTCCTCACAGTGCTGAAGCCTTTGATGGTGTCAACAAATTCCTCGTCGTCCATAAACTGTTAGGAAGAGGAGCAGAGCTTGTTAAATGGAGGATGCAGGACTCAGCAGCAGATCACTTTGAAAGTTGTTTAAATAGGTCTTTCTGCGTCTGTGTAAAAGTCTAAGTGTGTTAATGTCTAGTTGTCTCACCCATGTATCTTTGTATTGATGCACCGCTGTGAAAATATGTGTAATGCTTGTGTTGGATGAGATTCTTTTATCTAAGACCAGAACTGAACTAACAGCAACAACTGCGGTAACAGAGGGGTCTGAACAGCTTCAGCATACGTTTTTGGGGTCTCTCACCATCCCACTGTCATGGCCTGAAACGTGTGGGTCCCACGCTTCGTCGTCCCCTGTGAGGGACTTCCCGTCCATCACCTGGCTGACGCTGCGCCTCAGGGAGTTCACACTGAGGATCCCTAGCTCACCCTGCGGCGGGACCTCGTCAACGAGCTCACATTTAGCCTCCAGAACTTCCTGGTGGGAGGGGAGAAAGGTGGATATGTACGCCATTGCACATGTGCAAGTACTTCTTTGTGTGTGTTGGTTTTTACCTCCATCTTCATGGTGAAGCCCTTGAGGGTTACACTGTTGGAGAAGCCTGTTGTGTCAGGTACAGTGTCAAACTGAAAAAGGACAGTAGGTGAGACTTTAACAACAGGTTTACACTCTGTAAGCAAACAGGAAAACATGGACTGTGTGTGAAACTCTTTGCTATGGATTATCTGCCATTTATTAGCGTTGGTTGTCATTTATGGCTTTATATTTATGCCTAGGATATGAATTATATTTGTAGGGATTTCTGTTTGTTGGAACATTTTTTTTTTGCATGATAATAATTTCTCTACAAAATATAATAAGAAAAAAATATTTTTTTTTGCTCAAAAGATTCCGGAGATAAGTAAAAGTACTGTAACTGTTATACTATTATATATTATCATTAAATTATTATTATACATTAATGTTAAAACAGGATTTTACTATTGTAGTTGGTTTTTTAGTTGATGAATTGTTTCAGCTGTACATTTTGTTTGTGCAAAATCCTAACTTGTAATACGAAGCTCAAACTTTCAAATAACTGTTGTGGAGTAAAAAAGTACAATATTACCCTGCTCTGAAATGTTGTGACGCAGACGTATAAGGGTAAGGGTTAGGGTTGCATGGAAAGAAAAATAATCAGGTAAAGTACAAATATCTCAAATCTCTCTGTACTTAGTTACATCCCACCACTTATACAACTCAGACTTCCATAAATAATCCCACAATACGAACTAAAAACTAGTGCCAACTATATTGTATATTATTATATACATTAAACATTTTCTTTTTTGTGGTAACATTGGGGTGTTCCTTGACATTAAAACTCAACAAAAAAATATTAAGAAAATGTCATTGGGAATGGCAAGCAATATCCAGCTCAATAAATATATTTGTAGTGCAAATAAATACATCTTAAACTATCACTTCTTTATAGTTGAAAAAGTATAATTCTACACAGAATAGGCTCTTTTCACATTCACTGCAGATACTTCTCAAGTCTTAGCAGGAAAACCACAGGAGTGATTAATAACAATAACGATGGCTGTGTTCCATTTAGGTGTTCCAGTTGAAGAGGGCTAGAACTGTGCAGTCTGGCACACTTGAATGAAACGGAGCCAACGTTAATGTTATTAGTTACAGCCATAGTGTCTGGCATTAAAAAGGCTCATTCTCCGTGTAGTGAATAGTGATTAGTAAATGACTGAATGTCCATTCACCAAAACAGAGTTGCTGGGTGGATAAACAGCCATGGGGCTCCTCTTCTGCATGGGCAGGGCCACCAGTGGGGGTCTCTCTCTGGTGAAGGGGGGTTTGTTCAGGACCTAGAGCAGGACCACAGGGCAGAAAAGACAGAACCTAAGTGACGCCTAAGTGAAGGTTCCCAAAAGTGACTGTTTTCTTGCTGATGAAAGAAAGGATTTTAAAGGGCCTGTGATGTTGGGATCATTCCTTTCCCGGGCGTTCACTCCTGACACACTGTATAACACAACATAACTGTCTCTTACCTTATGAAGTATGACACCTAAGGCGACGGCCAGCAGCAGCAGGGCGATGCCTGTCATCACCACGATGAACCACAGCTCTCGGACCACCGGCTGGCCCCCCTGACCTCCCTCTGCCCGCTCACCACCCCCTCCACCTCCTCCAGGAGGAGTGGGGCTTGGTGAATCTGCAGGGAAAGTGTTTGATTGTGTTTTATTGGTGTCATTCGGTTTTCTTTAGTGTGGGCCACTGTAGTTGTTGATTTGTAACTGATCTTTTACGATAGTTACAATCGTCCAATCATCCAACTCTTCCTAAGGCCCGCCCCTTCTAGCTCTGTGCTCCAATATCATTTGAGCAAGCCTTGGTCAGAACATCGGTCAACTTCCTCCTTACTGTATGTAGATACCTGAATGCTAAGTGCTAGGTTCATCTATGTTTGCTGAATAACGATTGATAAAAAAATTTGCTAGCTACTTATCTAGCATTTTGCTAACATTAACTACCTTACGATGTGAGTATATGTCACTTTTATCTTTTAAACATCTTCAAATTGTGGTTGTTTCTTAAACATGGTTACCTTTTCCATATCTAAGTACATGAGAGGATAAAGTTGACCAGGTCTTGCTCAGCTGTTATTGGTGCACAGAACAAAAAGGGGCGGGACTTAGCAAGGGTCAATTACATTTTGTCATATTTGCTGAAACCTTCCCTTTATCCTGACAGTAGTTCATGAGACAGATACTGTGGAAATAATCAGGTTCCTCTGGCTCCTCCTATTGGTCCTACAAATGTCGCCTTAGAACACTAATATAAAAATATCTAAATGATTCATTATTCTTCTATATTTATTCAGACTTCTGTTGGGGTTACATTTGATAGGAGTACGTCACAAGTCAACACTGTGAGAAAGAAAGACGATCACACATGTACTGTAGAAAAGAGATAACACTGTAACTGGAGACATACTTGTGCCCATGGCCTAGTTTCCTGCCTGCAGAATGCACCACACGCCACTTTCATCCATTTATATTTCCACAGACTTTTGCGGTCTTAAACATGTCAAGTCTCTGGTTAGATTGGTACATTATACACTATATTGACAGGCCCTGAAGGCAACATAGTGCTGTTCACTGAGTAATAATGCCATTATTTTCTTTTCTTTCTAGCTCGTTCCAGTCATTCTTGTTGCAGAATGAGGAACGAGTGATGGATGAAAAGTGAAGTGAGAGAGACAAGTGTGTCCGCTCAGAGACTCACCAGTGCTGAGGTCCGTGGTTTGACCTGTGGTGGGGGTGCTGGCAGCCCCTCGCTGTGAGATACATCGATCAGAAGGGCAAAGACCTGCCGGGGCGTTTAGGATCACACCTGTTGCCCCATCAATATTTTACAGCTGATACTTTTACTTGCTGACTTGCGCTCTTCAAGACACAAAAAAAGTTCGATCCCCCATGTCCCTTCTTCCCTGCCCTGAAGGAAATGTTTCCTAGACAGCAGGAGGAAGAAATATAGTATCTAGTGTCAGAGCTAAAAGTGACTTGAACGACCTGCATTTGTGTTTCTCTGACGCTCCAAAACTCCCATCAACCATTGCTTTTCTTCAGCAGTGCCATGGTAACAGCCAGGTGTCAGGTTGCAGTTTACCTGAAGAGGCATGGTAGTGTAGTAGCCATATCACCCCTCTGATCCTCAGGTTCTGTTTGTGTTTGTGTGTCCTTTTTTATAAAACTATATCTCACATATGTTTTATATTGACTTACATATGCATATTACATATATTTGACATACATAATAAATTTCATGACAGCATGTTGCACCATTAAAAGACACGTTTGCAGAGGATGATACACACAAAAATTTGTTTATGTGGCATTATAATAAGATGTGAAGCCCATCCTTTATTTCAGTTCACTGTTTGCAAGGGTGTTGAAGTGTCCTTGAGCAAGGCACAGACTCCCCTAACATGTCCTCTAAATAAATTCATAAAGTGTCACATTTTCATTATTGCTGTATTTTAAACCGATGGATTATTTGCCATCCAGATAAATGATCACAGCAGCATGTTTCTGTCTGTTGTCTTTGTGTTGATACTTTAATGAACACAATAATAATCTCCAGAACAACGTGAACTTCATACTGAAGGCACAGATTAAGTAGATTATATCAAAGCCCTTCAAGAGTTAAGAGTTCATATCAATAATAATAAATCTAGGACGTTGTTTAATGAGGCTATGAGCAGAAATACTGTGAATTTGTTTCTGTGGTTAAATTCATCCGAGCCCTTATATTATGTGGCAGCGGCTTCAAATATTATCTGATTAATACATTAATTATCTTAATTACCTCATTAGCTAAATCAGTCTATTTATAATGAGGGTCTGTCTGTATATTTAGAGGAGAAAATTAGCTTTTCTCTCTCAAACAATGATAATGCAGCCATTCATCTTAGCTTTGAGGTTTTTATGTATGCTGTTATGGATATTTTATTGCAACCAAAGTGTCTTAGGCTGTATGTAATGGCCAGAAAAGCGTAAAGATAAACCTCTGTCACTACAGTACAATCATGTTTTTTATATATTTTATGGTAATTCTGTAAGCATGGCAGCTGTGGACAGTTACATTAATGTGTTCACCATGAATATTTAAAAGTCAGGGGTGAGAGTTTGGGCAACACATTTTAGGATGAATGATAATTTTAAAAGCCCTTTCCGTAACTTAATTAATTATTCTTAATACAGTTTTTAAGAATAACACAGGAATGTGTAGTGCATGGTGTTCTTTGCAATATGCTATACAACCACATGATGGCACTAAGCAGCAGCTACTGGTTATGTTGTTGCGAGCCAGTATAATAAGTCTACAGCAGTAGAGAATAAACTCTATATGCAGTACAGCCGCAGTAGTGCCCCTTATCCTCAGTCCCAGCTATTATTGCAATATACTGTCACGCTACAACAGTTGCAACACAAACTTTTGTCTTCCCTACCAGGACTGAAGCAGCACAGTTGCAATGAGTTGAGTTGGCCCTGGTGTGCAAATAAAGTCCCTTTTCTCTGTGTCATTCTCAAGTGACATCTAACTGTACATGTACAGTTGTCCATCTGCTGTGGGCGAATGATTAAGAATGACAGGCAAGAGGTAAAGCAGCAGATTTAGTAACAGTTTGTCAGGTAGTGCCGCAGGAAGGCATAAAACTTTTAAACATAAGAGCAGCATCCCGGGATGATTTGAGGAGGTTGGATCAGGACCAGGTTGTACTTTACTGCTCTGTGGTCTTGTTTTCTTCTTCCACCTCAAAATGACTAAATTAAACATGATTCACCACGGTTCACTGGACAATGGGGCTTCCCAGACAATAATATTTTAATATGATCTCTATTCCCATTTAATGTTAAAATACCCCTTCAAATGTGTTTTTCTCTTTGTGACTTAATTGGATGTTTGAGTTTCACTTTGCAAAATGATGTATGTGCACTAGTTTACACTAGAAGCCTGTTAAGTTTACATTCACCACGTTTCTCTGTGTTCACCTTAAATCAGAGTTTAAGATGTGTTCATATGAGCACGATCTGTGACATTATTCAATAAGCAAAGAAGTAGAAAACATCTTGGAAACGTTTGACATTAATAAATATTTGCACATTCATAGATTCTGTATTTTTCTATTAGGGAAATAGATCAGATGTCATTTTAAGAATTTTTGACTAAAATGTTTGAAACACAGGAAGTTTATGGAGATAGAAAGCGTTTTAAGTCATTATTATCAAACTATACTTAACATGTAACATGTGTAACATGCAATGTATTCCCATTTATGTCTTATTTCAGTCTTATGATGAACTTCTCAGACTCCTGCAACAATGTCCTTCATGAATAGTTTCAAGGTCCATTAGAGATTTTGTTGTTTTAAATAAGTTTTTGGTAGCTACATCTCATTAGGATGATTAATCAGAACAAAAACCACACTCGAGCTGGTTAGGTGTCCATGATAATTTTGTGTTGAAGGACAACATCAACATTTTTTGTGGTGAATCAGCAAGACACATTTCCTGCAACACACCCAGGACAACTTGATGTTTGAAAATAACATTGCTGCATAATATTTCTACCAAAACAAGAGGATTATTTAACCCTTTCTTTGAATCTAGCCATTGGTCCCCAGTTCCAGATATCACAGCTCTGTATAAGAGGGGGGCCCCCACATTAACTAACAGCTCATTTGATTTATTTTTACAGACGAGCTCTCCTCCTTCTAATACCCTAATCAGCATTCATACCTTGCCGTGATGATTCGGGACAATGCTTTTTTATTGAGGAAGTGATCTCACCCTTGAGTGCCAGAATCAGCCTTTTTTACAGCCCATCTCCTCGGGGCCTCATCCATCACCAAGGTGTCTGGGCGACACGGCCGCTAGACACATACTAACTCATTTAAGGAGAGGGACATACGGGGATATATCACTCAACATCACTAACTCACTTACTGACGGCTGATGTGGTGAAACATCTCCAGCTTGTTCCAAATCCCTCGGTGCAGTCTGTGAGTTTTAACCACAGGGAAATAAGGAGATTATTTAGCTTCTGCTGACAGATAAGGAGGGATAAAGGACAAATGGGTTCCCTTGGATTTTGATTTGTCTTTCTATCTGTTCATCCATTTTTATTCTTCAGGTTTAGCTGGCATTGTCTTTTCTTCTCTCCTTGTACGTATAAACAAGATCACATGCTTCATGTTACAGAAGCGATCGTGACTGATTGCCACTGAAAGCTGCACGTCTCTCAGTTAATACTTCCTTTATCGACTGTGAACTCAATCAAAAACCATGTAATCTTACAAAATATCTGCTGGTTCAATCACCAGTCTAACAAAGGCAGAGCGTGGCTCATCACTGTAATAATTTCCAATTACATTTTTAAAATGAGTAGTGTAAAACGTGTCTGTAAGAAATATTGGTAACACTGTTTTAACCCCCTATTTAGCATTTGTTAGCAATATATAAACATTTAAAGTAAGACTATATAGCTTTCTCACAGTGGCCACAAGTAACAATTGGGCTAAAAACACTCAAAACTACAGTGTAACTCACTCAGCAATATCACCGTATCACCTAAAGGTAAAGCACCATAAGAAGAGACAAACCAACCTGTGCATTTTATTGCTCAGTTATATATAACTTCTCATTTGTATGAGGAATAATGTGTTCATTCTTCTTTCAAATGTTGCATAGTATTGCTTTAATAAATTGTTAATAAACATTATATTATGTATTTGTAAGTAGGAATTAAGACATTTTAAATATTTAGTTGTTTAATTTAATTAATTTAATTTGTCAGCAACTATAACTGCTCATGTGAAACATCCTGTGTAGGTAATAACTGGTGTATTGAATAAATTGTTCACAATGTAATACAGTACAGTAATTGTAGTAGTATGTCTTCATGTATAATGTGATGCATGCATGTATTATATTTATGAAAAGTAAACTAAAAAGGGTGTGTAACATTTCTATTGGCAGAAATGGAATATAATATTGTATGTTTTCACTGGAAGTTAAAATGTTATTGTTACCCTAAAATTAGCCATTTACATCTATAAAGGACGCCATGTTTCTACATTAACCAAGTACGGACAAACCAAACATTGGCTCTAGATAGAGCTTTTCATGGGTTTTTGCAGGCACCATAGTTATAGTTAAGGGTGAGGCGAGAGATATTCAGTGAGTTGCCATCTGCATTCTCACCGCTAGATGCAACTAAATCCTGCCCACTGGTTCTTTAATGTTACTACATTTATAACAATGTATTTATTTTTTGATTGTTATTATATCTTATTACGGACTTCTTCATGCTACGTGTCAACTGAGCAAACTCATGAAGCCACAAGCTGCTGAAAGTCTTGGAAAAGGTCTAGTAAGTGGACCTTGAGTTCAGAAAGTCGTTTTTCCAAGAATGAACCTTCAAGCTCAGTGTGTGTGAGCTTTGAACATGAATATTTAAACAGCTTTAATTAAACCTGCCCGTTGTGTATAAACCGTTAATATATGTGCTATAGCACACTGTAAATGTTCTTGTGGGTTTGTTGATATATCAGTACATAAAGTTAGACAGTTACGGGATGCTTCATAACAATAAGTGCTTATATATTAATGAGCACTAAAAAAAATATCCTTTTATCTGCTTACGACTACATTATAGTGTGTTATATATAACAGTTTATGAAGTGCTTATGTGTTAGTTATAAAGGTTAATTGGGGATTTTAAAGCAAAGCCAAAATATTATTTTTTTTTTACCTAAAAGTATAAATATAGAGTTTCTGGTTGTGTGATGAAGCGATGAGTCGACTGCCTCTTCCTCCATCAGCTTCAACTGGCATCTGATGACCAGCACTCCCCAGAGCCACTGCTAGACTTCATTACATTATAGCTGTTAATTATAAATCTCCATCCAACTGCACTCTGATGGCCTAAATGTGCCATAATGGGCCTTACTTGGAAATGACAGTCCATTGTCAGGCTGTGCCGACTAGACTGCACCCACTAACCAGCTCTTAATGAATTCGTTTCAAAGCCCCTTTATTGGGAAAGACGACACTCAGATGACACGAGCGTT